GAGACAAATGCAGAAAACATCCTAAAGTATATTCCGTATAACACTTTTATTTCTTATTTGAAAAAGTGTGTAAAAAACACCCCTAGTCTTTTTACATTGTTCAAAATTACTTCATCTGACATAAATTAGTGTTATAATACTCATTTTGCCCTTTTTACTCTTCTGATAAAAAATACCTAAGGGGATATATATGCTACTGATCTCATAGTATAGGGTGTTATGTGTACATTACCCTATATATATATATATATATATATATATATATATATATATATATATATATATATATATATATTAGAACTTTTTTCTCAATATATATCTCTAAACATTTTTTTAAAAAAACTTTAAGAATTTCTAGAACAATGATTTGAATTTTTTCAGATTTCAGTTTACTCTTTTCTACTAAATTTTTTTTTTCTTTAAAAATTTTTTCCGTACCAACACTATTAAAAATAAATAAATAAATAAATAAAATCCTAATATCAGTGTGCTGGTTTTCGAAGTTTGAATAATTTTTGTTTTCTTTAATTTGCACTTTATTTTTGTTTTTTATTTTCTATTTTTATCTTTACTTTTCTTTTATACTTTTATTTTTATTTTATATTTTTATCTTTATTAATCCATTGCTGGCATCTTCCAATAGTGTCATTTTCGGTCATTTTATAATAATTTTTTTTTTCATTATAAAATGATTCAATAAGGGTAATTTAGTCAACTTATGGTTTAATTTGTCAGAGGGATCTATTTGCACCAGATTGAAACTTTATGGATGTTTTTTACATGAGAGGGACATCCTCCAATAGTGTCATTTTTGGTCATTTTACAAAATTATTTATTTTTATATATTTTATAAAATGGTTCAGTAAGGGTAATTTAGTCAACTTAAGGTTTAAATTTTTTAAAGGGACCTATTTGTACCAAATTAAAACTTTATGGGTGTTTTTTGCCGAGAAGAAATAATTGAAATGACACTTTTGTTCCAAAAAATTATATTTAAATGTTCCATTTAGCATGTAATTTTAATTAGTACGAGGCACTTTAATGTCAATTCCTTATAATATTATACGGATGAGAATTAAGGGATTAATTCAGTCCGGGCCCTTATAGTACGTGGCATTTTAATGTCAATCCCTTATAATATAGGAATGACGATTACGCGATTCATTTATCCCGAGTCCTTATAATACGAGACACTTTAATATCAATCTTTTTTTTAGTACGGGTCGACAATTATGAGCTCCACTCAATAAGGAAGGTTGGTAGTAATTTCGAGTTTTACTTGGCTTTCCCTTTTGATAAAGGGGGCACACTAGTTTTGAACTTTACTTAGCTTAATTATCACCACCATCTGTCACCTTCTTTTTTTTTTCTTTTTACTTTTTTCTTTTTAAAGCATCCAGTTTATTGAGATTAGCTTTGATGAGCTTCAATTTCTAAGAAACCTAAAACTCTTGAAATCAGTGCTCCAAATTCCTCGTATTCAATTCAAAAGTAAAACATTTGGGAGCCCTTCTACATAGCGAGTTGTACTCTATGTCTTAATACGGATGGGCAATGACAGAAATGCCTCACAGGGAAAATCAGAATCAGAGTGAGTGAGGGTATTTCAGATTCCATTCTTCACTTGTGAGAGCTCTATTTAGCTTCCGAAATATAATATCATAACTTAGCCCGTCGTCATCAAAGGCGAGGTATTGCCCAGTGAACCTAGCTCAGATCCTCAAGTTCAGCCTCTATTATATAATTATTGAAATGTTACTCCATTTGTACAATTGTACACACCAACCATTACTACCTTTATTTCTTTCAAATAGAAATGCATTTAAGTTCTCTAAGACAGTCAAAGGGTGTTGCAAGGAAAACCTGAATAGTATGTTAAAGGTTCTCCAAAGAAATTGCTTCCCTACTGAAGTAATTAAACCATAGACAACAGAGAACATATGACCTAAGCTGCAACATCTTTGGCATAGAAATTAAGCTTTGCATGCTGTGACTTGTATAAGAAACTTCAAAAATAGTAAAGACAGAAGTAAAAGCTCACAGGGACCATTTTTATTTATTTATTAAAAGATAGCATAAAATACTGGAGGTCATATATTTCATTGCTGTGAAATACTATGCACTTTGGTAATATATATATATATATATATATATATATATATATATATATATATATATATTCTAGAATGGAAATTTATTTTTAATTTATTTTTTATGTAGCCATACCTGTAGAGGCCCTCTTCGTTTATACTCAGTTTTGCAAAAGATGTCATGCATTATTTCTCCTTATTGCTTGTAGCTTCATTAAAGAAAAAACTAGAACCAGGCGTCGTAGTGAAGCTGATCAAACACTACTTTTTTCGTCAATATTGTCAATGTCAGAAGGAATATGAACAAAATTGTTAAATTTGTTAGCATCACAAGAGATGGAAACAAACTGGGAGTGTTGTTGAGTTGAAAGCTTGTATTTATAAAGATTTCGCTCTCTCTCTCCCCTAACCACTTTGTATGAGTTTTGATTTCAGTAGTAGTTCTCCTGGATACTTTGTTCCATCCAAACAAGGCCTATAGTCATGATGAATACAATGGTTTTTCTGCATATATAATAGTATTGGTGTTGATGTTCCTGAAGATCTTCTATCCTTCTTTTCTTCAGTCATCTTGCTTATGATGATGTATAGAAACATCATGACAATTCAAATGGTAAATAATCTAAAAGATCCAAGCAAAGGCAGTACATAGGACATAGCGCATGAAAATTGAAAAACATAGAGAAACATTACGGTCAATAGAACTGGTAAACTTCTAGTAGAATTCTATTCCATAATCCCTATTAATGATTTAATCATTGAAATAAATAATGGTAACCATTCCTTTATCATCCAAATACTCATTCAGACAAAAATAGACTTTGATATCAATATATGGTAGGCAATCCAATAAAATTTATATTCTACTACATAAATTTTAAGAGTAAACATACCTATTTTATTGATAATAGATGCTTCTTTTGAAATTAATTTCCAAAGAGGTGCGAAATTCTTCAGCAACGGTTTAATAGATTATAAGATGATAACCAAAAAAAAATGCTCCTTTAATTTGTAATAAAGGACTTGAAATGTCATAGCTAAGCTTGTGAAATACAATCACATCACTCACTTGAAACTCATTGAGAATCTTATTTTACAAGAGAAATTATTGTGAACAAAGGTGTATACCACAACAAAAGTGTTGGAAAGGGCTTATCTTTCTGCTAGTGGATGGACTTTGTTTTCCTGTTGGTTAGACTATTCATTTATTCCTCAGACTACGGATATTAACATGTTTTAAAAGTAAAACAAAATAAAACATTAACATTGCTCTTCTAACTAATAAAGGTGAACTAATTTATTTTTATCTGTTTTATATACGTAGTACTTTAGATGCTCTTCTAAATGATTTGAACATCTCTCAGATGCTGAAGGATTTAAAAGTCCAGAGAATAATTTTATTGGGTTAAAAAATTTAGCTAGCAGTTGATGTATTAACCATGATCAATTTATTTAGACCTTTAACACCACCAAAATAGAAGGAAAATCCAAGACTTACCCATAATTTACAATCAGCAAGACGTGGCCAATTGAAGATAGAAAAATCCCAAGGACTTTGAATGGCTCGTCAATGATACGGCGTGATGCCCCCATGGAGCAAGCTCCCACGTGTCATTGAAGGATAAAAATATAAATTCAAAAGGCATTGTGATACCTGAATGATCACCAGCGTAATCGAGAGAGATTTGAAAGGGGCTCCACAGAGATTGTTGTTGCTGAACGAAATCAACTCGAATTTGGTCTGGTAGCGGATTTTTAGAAGAGGATCTCGGTCAAGAGGTCGCGGTAGCCAGCGATTGCGGCTGATGGTGTGTGGTGGTAGTCATCATCCGGTGAGGATATATATTTTATTGCCAGTATATGTGATGGGTAAGATTGGTGTCGAGTCTTACGGAGCAAAACAAATACTACAGCGAGTATTAATGTAATAGTAATATATGTGTGGAACCATAGTTGAAGCAAAAATCTGCAGGATTCTGAGCCAGCGGCTGTTTCTTGCAAGACAAGAAGAGTAACGACTGGCACTATGCCGGTCGGGTGCACTCCGATAATCAAGTTAATACTTGACGATTGAATATCCGAAAAAGAACTTAATATGAAATTTGTAACCTACCTTTGTAGGTTGATCAACGAATCTTTTTATAGAAGTTTTAATAGTAGTCATGTTATGTCATGAAACCCATTCATTTTCATTGTTCATCACGAATTGTAAGTCATTAAAAAGGGTGGTAGTTGTTATCTTTATCTCATTCAATTTATCCATGCCCTTTGTGTTTCTATGTCACTTAAACCTCTTAATCAGTCGAATATTCAATATCAATTGTCCCATTTCCTAATATGCTTGTCAAACTTAGAAAAACGCAAAGTATTGCTTACTTGTTAAGCTTAAAGAATGTAAGGCGCTTCCATCCTTGCTTTGGAGAACCTTAATGTTCTAGTTTTGCACAAGCACAGTTCGAAAGTAATCCGGAACTTGTAAATCAGCTAGTGAAATTAGCTTTTCATTTGTCATCAATTAAATCATTATTCAAGAATTAAAAGACTCAAGTGCCAACTTGTTATGTAATTTTTAACCAACAACTAGAAGTATTTATATAATAAATGCACGAAATTGGGAATGAACCATGTACTTGGACATAGTTATTCAAGCATTTTTCAAATATTATTCAAAGTTATACTATAAAATAAAACGTGTCCATTTTATACTTATAAAAAAGAATATATATCCATTTTAAATTTAAAATATGTAAATAATAATAATAATTATTAATCTTAATTTTTTTATTTTAAATTAAAACTAGACACGTATCGTTTCTATTATTGTGACACACGTTATTTATTTTTCTAATTTTATTCAAAGCTATACTTTGTTTTGGTGTGTGTATATATATTATTTGAGCACCAACTCCATCTACTCATTCACACTACTAAACAGTAAACAGAGTCAACAGGCCAAAGCACAATCCCCGTTCACAGATAAAAGCAAAAGTAAAATGATTGAAGAGCGCCGAGGAGTCCCATACGGCGTCATACTGGCGGTGGTCGTGGCGGTGGTCGTGGCGGTTCCGATGTTCCTCGGGGATCACGGTGAGGCCATAACAGACTTCATCTCCGAGCTCCTGAGCCCGGTGGGCCTCCTCCTCCTCCCAGTCGTCCTCCTTCTCGTCATCCACTTCCTCTCCTCCGATTCCGGCTCCTTCATCTCCAGCATCTTCTTCAGTACCGGAGAACCCGATTCCATCCACCGGGTCAGCGGGTCACCCGTCGGTGTTGCTCTCTTCCTCTGCCTCATACTGTTTCTTCTCTACAACCGGTTCTCCATTCTCGGCGGTGACAATGATTCCGGTGATTGATGAGTCTGTTTTTAATATGTTTTCTTTGCTTAATTTTGTTTTCATTGTTTTTGTTTTGTTTTCTTTGCTTTGATTATTGGACTGGAGTGTATGTACAGTGTGTACGTATAATATAGAGTTCATGTATGAAAATGGTCTTGCATAATGTTTCGAGGGTATTATGGTCATTGAGTATGTCGTGAAGTACAAAAATACCCTTAGCAATTTAATTACTAGTTCTTCACAGGACTATGGCGTTTGAGGGTAATGTTGCCTTTTTGAGTTTCTAATGCTATTTTTTTAATTTTTTCACTCCTGATAAAAAAATAAAAAAGGAAGGGGACTCAAACACTACGCTCTACCAAGTTACCAACTAAGCCCGTTTATAATGCTGTTAATGTGACTTTAATTTACAAAATAAACAGATCAGTAGGGACAGTTTCGGTTGAATTTAGTTATTTGAATGAGTTGTTGTCCGAGGGTAATGTGGTCTTTTTAGTTTCTGATGCGGCCAGTGTGAACTTCAGACACCTGGTTGTCGGTGCGCGGTGGCCAGGGAGCTTTCTTTATGTCTCCCTTGGCTTTATTTTGTTCCTCTCTTTTTTTTTTTTTTTTTTCTTTTTTTGGCTTTTTCTTCGTTCAAGAAAAAATTCATGCGTGCACGTGGCTAGTCTTTATTCTGATTTGATATATATATATATCTTATCATATGAATTTAATATTTAATTTTCTTTCTTTCTATGTTGTTCTCTTTATAAAAAAAATTTATTGTATGAACAGTCAAAGATGGTATGAATCTGTGGTCAAAGGTGGTATGAATCTGTACAGATTATTAACCCACATCACATGTACAAACTTCAAATGCAAGAGACTGATATCAGCATTGAATGTGACACTTGAGAGTGTGGAACTCTTTTTTATGTGGGGAAATGGGTTTTGACTTTTGAAGTTATAGTAATAGAATTTGAATTTTTTTTGAGAGTTGATATTCGCCATGCTCCATCTATTATTTATTTTTAAGGAAAAAAATCACATAATTTTTTTTGTACTATTATTTTTGTCTAAAAAAAACTTCTATAAGAATTAAATACTCCCGTGAAATATAATCAGTCATCGCATTGCTCCATTTCCTTTTAAAGCAATTAACCTACCATATGGGTTGGAGCGCGTGAGCAACATATGCTTATCCAAAAAAAAGAAAATTCCTAAAATACCCCCCACACCTTCCCCTTCCCTTTTTCCTTTGTGTGTGTATATATATATATAAAAGCATGTGTACTGTTTGTATATATATAATCGTGTGTGCAAAGGATCCATCTTTAAAATCAGAAGCTTTGAAGGGAAAGGGGAGGCCGCGAAGCTCTGAAACCCTAAAAGGAAAGGAAAGTCGTAATCCACCTTCCCTTTTACTCTGTGCAATCGAAGCCCTAAAAGGAAAGCCCCGTAATCCATTTTCTTATCATTCAACACCATAATCGAAACCGTAATTGAAGGTACAAAAATTTATTCTCAATGCATACTATTATATTAATCACAGATATTCAAATTCAATTTTGGTATAATTTGCAGATTTTAATCACATAATGTCAGCCTTAAGCATTCGATCTGGTGGTGATCAAGATCTGAGGTATAATAATATTTATTGTGATTGTCGGGAATTGGCTGAAGTATTGGTAACAGGAAAGAACGATAATAACAACTTGGGAAAACTATACTATAAATGTCGCAACAAAGAATGTGGATTTTGGAGATGGTGTTATCCAATTTCATCATAAACCATTCAGAGTGAAGGCAACTTATTTGAGACTCGGCAACATGTTGAAAAGGTATTAGAATATGATATTACTCAGTTGAGGTTGCATGTAGAAGCCATGGAGAAAGAGTTAAATTTATGATGGTTCTTATTGCAGCCTGTATCATCTTTTGTGTTTTTGCTGTAGTGTGTTCTTTGTTAAGGAGATAAAGAGTTATTTTTGTTTCTCTGGTACTTCTATTTTATTAAGTGGTGGAATGTAATCGTTTGTACTGTGTTTCATATTTTATGAATATAAGAGGTAGAATGAAATAGTTACACAATGTTGTAATTGAACCATTCACATTGTATATGACATTATTCCATTCACATTGCGTATGACATTGTTCCATTCACATTGCAATAACCTACTCAAAGTGCACAATATCATCATAACATTGCATATGGCATTGTTCCATTCACATTGCAATAACCTACTCAAAATGCACAATATCATCCTGTTCATAACTGAGAAGAGGCATTCAAAAGGACTATGCATCATACAAAAATAACATCATCCATTGCAAAGTTACAACCATGTATGAGGTCCACAAAAATAACATCATCCATTGCAAAGTTATAACCATTACTTTAAGATCCCTCATACAAAAATTACATCAATCAATAAAGAGGTCAATAAACAAAAACTATGAGGTTTATCTTGCAAAAATAATGAGGTTCAGAAAAGCAGCTATGCATTTGCAACTATGATTTTAAGATCTATCAACCAACCTGCAAAATTATTAAAGGCAACCATCAGTTGATGTTCCATCAACAACAACCTGAAAAAATATTTATGTCTAAAGACAGTTACTTACATCATTCACAAAAATTTTCTTCATCACCAATCAATCTTGTGTTTCTTGTGTTGATGGGAAATCCATTAATTTCAACCACTTGATGTTGGCGGTTAGATGATGATGCCTATTAAAACAAAATGATTTTTAAAGTTACATGAAGCAAAATTATATATCAAACAAGTTAAAACCAAAATGATAGTTACAAAATTTATATACCTGTGAATGATCACCAACATCATATCTTATGCTAGAACCACCTCTTACTGCCCTAAAACCACATACAGCCCTAACAGCAGCCATAATATTACTTGTAGCCCTTGCAGCATCCATAAATCCACCTGCATTCCTAGCAGTAGCCATGAAACCACTTGCAGCCTTAAAACCACCTGCCCCAATACTTGCAGCCCTAGCAGCATCAAAATCAACTACAGTAGTGGCAACAACACCACTTCTACCTCTGCCACCCCTAGTAAGACCTTTACCCTTATCTTTACTAGCACATCTTCCACCTCTACCTCTACCACCCCTACTGATAAGTGCACAAAACCTATTATTTCATGCACCAAAATAAGCTTTTAATTAGAGTTTTATATTATTTAAATATTCTTATATGTTTGTTTTGTGTTTTGTAGGTGTTAATGCATGAATGAGAAGAAAGGAAACAAAAATAGAAAATAAGTGAAGAATTGGTTGCAAAAGGATGATTATATTTATTTATAGACAAAAATATACACAAGGAGCATTGTAAGAAAGTTGGTGTGCTGTACAAATCTCTTTCTAAGAGGTCTCTAGTTCAAGTCCAAGGCACAACAAAATGGTGTTATATTTTTGCTACATAATCAATCACTTACCATGTCATCACCTGCCACATCATCATTGAAGAAGAATAAAAGAGAAAAATTAAAAGAAGAGAAGAAGTGCAGAATAGGAAAAGAATGATGATGAATTAGAAAAGGAGGAGAGAGAAAGAAGAAGAAAGGTGGCGTGAGGAAATGAAGAAGAAATATGGGCAAAGCCATCATCATAGCCTACAAGTGGGTTACTCCCTTTGGCTATAAATTACACACTTCAGGAGATAGTGAGAGAATGGAATGTTAGAGATAGTTTTTAGTTTTTATTGAAGTTTCTTTCTTTGTAATTTTTATTGTAAATTTTCTCATTTATTGCAAGATGTTTTCTTAAAGTTTTTCTTTTCATTTAATTTAATGCGAGTTAGTTTTATTTACATGCTTTCTTTTATTGTTGATTCTCACTTACCTATTTGATGTTTGTGCAGTAGTAATTTTATTTCAATCATTTGTGACAAACTCCAAAATTAATGTTTTTAAAATCTCATGTTCCAAAACAAAGACTCACTTGAATACGTGGTTCAACCCTACTTACCATTAGACATTTTTAGTTAAGTTGTTGTAGGTATTTTATTTTTGTGTAGAGTGTATTTGACAACGACAAGTCCATAAATACACTCTATCACCTACTAGTACCAACAGAGCCACCTGCAGCACTATCACCACCAGGATCAGCCCTAGTACTAACAGTCTCATCCCTACTACCACCTATACCACCTGTATGCCTCTAAAATGGGGTCTTCCACCATTACTTTTGTGTGGTCTGATGAATGCTCAAATGTGACACATTTTAGCACCTAAGCGAGGGTATTTTAGTCCATTCATCTATCTTTATTTTCCTATTTTAGTACTTATTTGTGTTTTTGTCAATTTCAGGTCAATAAGGTTCAAACGGGCTAAAAATGGTCTGTTACAGCCTTTTTGGAGTCAAGCAAAAGTTCCAAGAAGATTTCAAAAAAATCATAAAAAAGGTTAAAAATGCTGAATGTTTGGATGGATCGAGATTTTTTTGGATCGATTGAAGATTTCTTTGATCCATTGAAAATGTACTGGTAGCGAGCTGTTTTATTCCCGCGCGCCTGAACTCTATCTACCTCATAGTTGTGGGATTAGATATTTTAAGGACTTATTTTCTAACTTGTTCACTACTCCAAAGACCTTTTATAAAGGGGGAATTGAACCATTTTGTAATATATCTTTTTGTCTTCAATTTTATTTCATTGTAATTTTATTTTCCTCTCTCTAGATAAGTTAGAGATTAGGGTTAGAAGAAAAGAGAAGAGTGGAGGCACCAAGAACACATCTCAAAATCTATTCACTCTCTCTCTCTCTAAAATTCAACAAAGAAGAAGAGAAAGAAGACAGAGCCCTGTTTAGGGATTACCTTTGAGGGTTCCAAAATCACACCCACTTCCTCCATGATTGACTAGACTTCTCCTTGGGGCTTGGATGAGCCCTAAGTTTATAATCTAAACTTCTATCTCTTTCATACTTTTTGGGGAATAATATCTTGTGATTGGTGTTTTAGCCTTGTGAATTTAATGAATCTTGGGTTCCCCTTTGATTTCTATGGATTAATTCTTTCTATTGATTCTTTATATAATTACATGTTGTCTTATGTGTGATTATTTGAGAATTGATCTCTATACTAGTTTTTCTATATTAATTGCATGTCTATATGTGATTGATTGAGAATCTAGTAATGGCTAGACA